GGTCTGTATTGGTATGTTTATAACAGTTTCATTCTTTATCTTTAGTCTGTATTGGTATGTTTATAAACGTTTCTTCTTTATCTTTAGTATGTTGAAAGCTGGTCTGTATTGTTATGTTTATAACAGTTTCATTCTTTATCTTCAGTCTGTTAAAAGTTGGTCTGTATTGGTATGTTTATAAACGTTTCATTCGTTATCTTTAGTCTGTTGAAAGTTGGTCTGTATTGTTATGTTTATAAACGTTTCATTCGTTATCTTTAGTCTGTTGAAAGTTGGTCTGTATTGGTATGTTTATAAACGTTTCATTCGTTATCTTTAGTCTGTTGAAAGTTGGTCTGTATTGGTATGTTTATAAACGTTTCGTTCTTTATCTTTAGTCTGTTGAAAGTTGGTCTGTATTGGTATGTTTATGAACGTTTCATTCGTTATCTTTAATCTGTTGAAAGTTGGTCTGTATTGGTATGTTTATAAACGTTTCGTTCTTTATCTTTAATCTGTTGAAAGTTGGTCTGTATTGGTATGTTTATAAACGTTTCGTTCTTTATCTTCAGTCTGTTAAAAGTTGGTCTGTATTGGTATGTTTATAAACGTTTCGTTCTTTATCTTTAGTCTGTTGAAAGCTGGTCTGTATTGGTATGTTTATAACAGTTTCATTCTTTATCTTTAGTCTGTAAAAAGTTGGTCTGTATTGTTATGTTTATAAACGTTTCGTTCTTTATCTTTAGTCTGTTGAAAGCTGGTCTGTATTGGTATGTTTATAACAGTTTCATTCTTTATCTTTAGTCTGTAAAAAGTTGGTCTGTATTGTTATGTTTATAAACGTTTCGTTCTTTATCTTTAGTCTGTTGAAAGCTGGTCTGTATTGGTATGTTTATAACAGTTTCATTCTTTATCTTCAGTCTGTTAAAAGTTGGTCTGTATTGTTATGTTTATAAACGTTTCGTTCTTTATCTTTAGTCTGTTAAAAGTTGGTCTGTATTGTTATGTTTATAAACGTTTCGTTCTTTATCTT